ACTGCCCCTGAGCAACTACCAGAGCAGATGAAGAGTAAAGATCTATCGAAGCCGGCTACGTCTCCGCTTACTATTCTTATTTCTACTATTATTATTACTATTATTAGCATTAGCATTACTATTATTATTACTACTATGCATCCAGGAGATCAAAATCAGACACTGACGCTGCTGAAAGGGAAGAGATGCCTTCGGCACTCCGCCACTTCCCATCTTCACACCTGGCAACGCAAGTGCCCCAACTACGGCAGCCCTAAAGTTGCAGGCATGTGGCTGCGATTTTGCTACATTCTAATATGGGGGTTTCCCAAAATTAGGGGTACCCTTTGAGGGGTCCCCATTTTAAGGACTACTGTATTTTGGGGTCTATATTGGGGTTCCCCTCATTTTGGGAAACTACCATATGTTGTAATGGACTATTGGGCATGTTTCTAGATCACTTCGATCTAGAATTCTCGATCACACATTGGAGTGCTGTGCACATGTTGTACCCGTTGGGGTAATATTAGGGTTATATCGGGGGTATATTGGGATAATGGAAAAACAAAATGGAAACCACAGGGATTGTAGGGATTACACAGGGGTTACTGCCCTGGCCTGACGACTTCTTGTGGTGTTGGAAGTTCTCCAGGAAGCACGGCACTTTCGGCTGCGCTGCGAAAAAGGAGGACCAGTTGATTCGAGCGACACCGACGAGGCCCGGCGAAGGAGTGGCGGCAAGGATTGCGCCCATTGCCTGTGGCAACCACGGCAGAAGGAATATTCTGATTGGAAGTGTATTTAGTAATGCTACTGCCACCATGCGTGTTCAATAGGGCCCTGGTTCGTACACGCAGCCGCAACTGAGAGAGTGCTTTCTGAACACATATGCATTTTGCTGCACCAAGAATGAATCAGGCCAAGCAACCTGCAAACTGGCAGTGGGATCCAGGCGCAGGTAGCCACCACTCTCGGTTGTGCCGGCCCGCGCAGCCATTCCCACTTCGGCCCAGGGACCCCACTGCACCGAAACAGCGGGGAGGCCTCTGCAGGAAATCGGCCAACATAAGGCATAACAGTGGCATGCAAGATTGCTACAGTCAGACCCCAAAAACACAACAATTGCTACAGAGACATGCTTCCCACAATGAGACACTCGTTACGACTTTTTCCAGGGAGTCATAACAATATCCGCTTTCCCCATGTACACCCTGGCAAGAACCAGGTTTCAACATGTGCTGGCTCCCTAGCAAACAGCTGACCAAAAGTCACAACAATAATCCTCAATCGCGGGGAGACGTGCCATTTCTGCAAGCACGTCGCGGGAACTCGGAAGATGGATTCAGGTAGGTTGTTTGGGGTACTCTACTTGTGGAGCGCACATATGCACGAGCCAAGAAGCCCCAGCAAGTGCAGAGCGGAGGGAGGGAGGGAGGGAGGGAGGGAGGGAGGTGAGGGGAAAGGTGAGAGAGGTCATGAGAGGTCATCCGGATGTCTTGCATTCGTTGGCTACAAGAGCCCGTGGCGATGCCGCAACCGATACCCGGAGCGATACCCCGGGCCCCGACCTGTCATGCTGAAGCCCCTTCCCCTTGTAAATCTGTACTGCTGAGTGTTGAGGCTTAGAAGCTGCAAGCGCTTTACAGCTTCGACACACAACCTTTCAGCACGACAGCCTTGACCGCGACGGTGCAAGGCGAAAGCATCAAGGAAGGCATTCCCAGAGCAGTAGTTGGCCTACCAAAAACAGCTGACACAGTGCACATCTCAAAGGTAAGTCCACTTGAGCTCTGAGCCTGACCCGGAGAGCCGAGCATCGCCGCGACTGAGGAGAAGAGCGTGAAAAAGTCCACCTGAATCACGGATTCCATGTTTGCAGATGTTCGCAGCTGTCCGGAGATCCTACGGCGGTCTGCCAAGTCTCCCGTGTTCAAGTGAAACTTCATGGTGGACTATGGCAACAGGTTACAGTGGCCAGCAATCAACCGCAGCTTCTTCCAAATTGCAGCTTCTGGAATGTCGCCATGGAAAAGCATTACCCCAGCAGTCTGCATGGAAGCCGATCTTAACTGACGAATTACAAGTAAAGAAAACGTGGTTGTGTTCTTCTTGGATGTGCTTTCGCAGGCCGCCTTGCTGCTATCCTTGCCTTCGAGCTCCAGCTTCTGCAGCGCAGAATGAAGGTTCCTTGGGTGACAGCACAGAGGCAAACTCCGTCTCGTACTGCAGAAGCTTTACATGGGTTGCAATCAGCTCAGGCCGGAGCAACGTACCATCAATCTTGGGCTTAAGCACTGGAACAAAATGCTCCCGCTCCAGATCACTGATCAAGTGATCATCCAGGACCTGCGCAGAGACTCGACGGCGGCTGCCAAAGCACATCCAATCGATTCTTCAACGCTGCTCTGAGTGCCGGGCTCCGGCCGCGTGCAAAATTCCCTTCAACGGCTTCTCTGCATGCACAGACTTCAGGCAAGAAGTCACTGCCTGCAACAAAAGAACAAATGAGTGAGATGCTTGTCCACGAGCCCTTAACCAATGTAGCTTGCACATGCCTCCACGGCAGACATGTCACAGGACGTCACCGTTGTTGCAGCAGCTGTGCTTTGAAGTCGTGCATAGGCCTCAGATAACCGATAGGCAATGCCTTAATCTCTTGAATATGCAATCTCTTAAACACGTGCTCACTCTGCTACTCAGTCTGTGGTGTGTGTCTGCTCGTTTGGATTTGACGCCTGAGGAATTGGAACTTTGCCCTAGCTGACTCCAGGGCGGCAAGCTCATTTTGATACTGTTGTCCTTGTAATTACGGTTCAGGTGTTTTCCCGAGACCCCGACTGCCGCAGAGCCCGGGTCCTGCGAAGCATGTCTTCTGTAATGCATTGCAATCCTTGCACACATACATGCAAAAAGTCACATGCTCTTGGATTCGGTCCTGTGCGATCTTGCCGCTGCGAGAGAGCAAGGCCAGGTGTCCAGCACCCTTCTCGGCAAACCAGGCAGCGAAGAGAAGGCCAAGGCCTCCAGTTCCACCGCTGATGGCCTCAGTGCGCTGAGCAACTCACGAGCCAAGTGTTAAGTGCAAGCTGACGGTACAGAAGCTGGCACAATTCAAATGCAAGTGCTCAACTGAGCTGAACGCGTAGCTGGCTTCTGACAAGCCTTGAGTTCACACGCTTCAGTGTTGCTACCACGAGCTTAGAACTTGCAACGACAAGCCAAAATTGGAAGAATTCTTGAAAGCTCTGCAGTCTTGGCATGCCGAGGCACGGTAGGCTTCCACATCCACCTCCTGAAACTTGGGCGTCGTCTCTTCCAAGCGGGAGACCATCAGCGTGGGCGAGGGGCCGTGGAGGAGAAGCTCTGGCTCCACCTCTGGGCTCTCCCCAGGCCGTCGTGTCTTCAGCTTTTGGAGCCTGACTCAGGCACATGGGGGTTTCCCAAAACTAGGGGTACCTTTTTGGGGGTCCCAATAATAAAAGTATTTTGGGGTCTATATTGGGTTTCCCTTATTTTGGGAAACTACCACATGAACCTCTCTCACTCTCGCCTACCCCTACATGCTTTTGCCCAGTTTCTGCTTCAGGCCTTGTCATGATCTCCTGAGGGCTTGCCTTCCCATCCATGGGTCCCAAATCCACGCAACCGGCCATGGAGCCTGGGGACTCCAGGCGCAGGCATCCTGGCTTGCTGTTAAGGAACTTAAATTAAGTTACCATAGTGGGTATATACAGTAAATAATAGGGTTTCCCCGATACAGTAACTTAATTTAAGTTCCTTAACAGCAGCCCAGCATCGGGCCAGCCCCCAGAGCCCGGCATGCAAAGGCACGGCTTGGCCCTTCAGCTCTTCTGCCTCCACAGCCTGAGAACATCACAGAATACTCAGGACCCTCCCTGTACCCTTTAGATAGGGGTATATGGTCCCCTACTTAGGATATATAGAGGGTATATGAAGGGAGAGAACAGATGCTGAACAACCCTTCTCCTCGCCTGGGTGGCCCGAAGGACAAACCAGACTTCCGGCGCTGAATCACCCACGCTCAGCGCTTTCTGGATTAGGCGAAGACCATTGTGAAGTACGTCAAGCGGGGCCTCCTCTGCCGACGGAATGTAAACCATTCGGGTGAGCTTGTCATAATCCACATCGCCGTTTTCGGACATAGAGGTGATATATGCGTGTTGAGGGCCGAGCTCTTTCTTCAGCACCTGCATATCGCAAACCCAGCATCACTTCTACTTCTTCAGGAAAAATCATCGCGACACACGATCAACGCTACACAAGCTAGACTCGTCTAGAAGGAAGCAGGTGGATCCCAACCTTGATGAGGGTGCCACTTGCCAGGAAGAGAACCCGGTCCTCCGATTCCTCCAGTGAACATGCTCAAGTCTCTTTGGCTGCAGAGGTGGCTGCGGGTGCATGATTGAGCGGTGGTAGCATAACAGGACGAGTTCTCATCATACAGCATACCCCCACACGGATCCTACAGTGGACTTTACAATTGTGATAGAAACACTCCATGCGGACTGGCTAAAGTCTCTCACTCAAACAGAATCAGCCAACGCTTCAGGCATTCCAGAGTTCTGAGAATCCTTGTGGACCCACACGCAAATCCATGAGTGGCAGTAGGCATGATGCTATGCTGTGTCCACAAAGGCGACAGCACTTGCAAATGGCATTATGCGATGCCTGGTTATCCATCGAGAGATTCAAAAGAAACATTCTTGCAATCACAGCAATGACACTGGAAATCTCAATGTGCGCGATATTAGTACTGATCGTGATTGTGGTGATGATGATGATGATGATGACGACGGCAACCAGTCAAAGCAGCTGCTGTTGCGGCAGCAGCGGTTGCGGCAGCAAAGTGCTGCAGCAATTGTGCAGCAGCAATTTTGGCAGCAGGAAGCAGCAGCAGCGGCGGCGCCGGCGGAGGCGGCGACAGCAGCAGGTAGCATAGTCATGCTGACAACATAGCAGAAATTCGGCAAGGGAGCATCTGAGAACAGGATTCTCCATGATCATGATCGTGCAGAATGGCCGGGGGGACGAGGAAAAGACTGACAGCACGAAGGATGAGAGTCCTTGGAGGGGAGGAGGCTGCTGTCGGCATCCACCTCAGGGAGCTCCTTCCACTTGGTCTCGAAGAAGCTGACGGCATCCTTGGCCTTGGTGGCTGCCAGCGCCTTCTGAATCTGCTCCGGAAGGACTTTGCGGAAGATCACGTCCTCCAGCCTCCACAGAAGAGTTCCCGCCTCGCTGAAGACTTGGCAAGTGAAGATCTGCTGCTGGTCCGTCTTCTCGTCGATGCGGAGGTGCAGAATGACGGCTTGATCCTTGGGTGCCTCGTTTGTGACCACCATGACCTTACCAACTCCTGCAAAGATCTTCAGGAAGGGTGGATCCTGATCGAACATGGTGGCACACACTGCGTGGATGGTACCATCGAACAGGGACGGGTGGATGATGTAGCCCTGGTTGGGCACATCGGAGTTGAGCTGCATGCGGCAGGAGATCTCATCCGGATTGCGGCACATGTCGTGGCACACTTGGAACTTCGGTCCCAACCAGAGGCCTGTACTGTCAACAAGAGGATACAGCTTGGCAGGGTCCACCTGCTCTGGGCAGCGCTTGGCACAAGCTTCGATGGTCAGCTCAGGGTCGATGCTTGCTGCTGCCTTCGAGCCACCACCGCTTGCCTCCACCCGACCTTCACAGTGCACTGTCCAAGCATCATCACCAGGCCCCTGGCTTCGAAGCTCGAAGCGCTTGTTGCCGATGATGGCGAGCCGCATCATCATCTGCTTGCTGTCAGTGTCTCCATCCTTTGGCACCACGAAGGGCCAAACCATCTGTATGTCCCGCAACTGGGCCTCTGGTCCAAGGTGAGCCCTTGCAGCCTCCATGGCCATCTCCACGAATACAACACCTGGAATGACAATCTCGTTGTAGACAACGTGTTCAGCGGAAACCTGGATCAAATATGATCAAATCAAACATGTTCAAACTCACTTCGACCTAAGCAGCTGTTGCCCCAAACCAGCCTGGAAGATGTCGCCCCGCACGGGGCAGTCAAAGAGCACTTCGTTGGGCCCCTCGCTGCGCTTTCTCAGAAGCCGGGGGCCGGCATCACGCCAGGGGAAGGGCTGCCTCTTGTACTGCAAGGCCGCCAATGCACCCTGCAGCTGCGAAAGCGCGGATGCTACGGTGTTGCCCTCTCCTTGGCCTGGCTCAATGGAGTGAAGCCAAGGCCATTCCTTGCTAGAAGCAGGGCCAGACGCACACCTCTTCCCCATCTTCACAAGGGTTGGCTCTGGGCCAACTTCCAGGTAGGCTTCTGGAGCTTCCTGGGTTACTCCCTCCAAAGCAGCCATGCCATCGGCAAAACGGACTGCCTGTGACACATGTCGGACCCAGTAGTCCGGGTTTGTGAAAGCATCGCTTTCCTCCTTGCCCGTCACCGTGGAGAGGAATCGCACTTTTGGAGCGGAAAGCTTCGCGGATGCAACCTGCAGGCGATCAATCAATCATGAGGATCCAAGCTGTTACGGCTGCTGGCAATTGTTGTGCCTCTTTCCGGAAGCTCTCCAGCATGGGCGCCATGAGCGGAGAGTGGAACGCATGGGAAACGTTCAGCTCCTCCAAGGGTGCAGTGCAGAAAGAGCTTTCCGTTTTTGTAGCAGATGCATTCTGAAACTCTGAAACGAAACGTTTACTACAGGATTCTTGGTACAGAAGTTCTGTAGCGAGGCTTGGGAGCATTTATGACGTTTGCTTCCAGGCCCGCAAGATCTGAGACCCACACCTACGGGCTGTTCATTCTACCATCTGGCTCCTTGTTCCCAGCACCGGTGCTCTCCACAACCTGCTTCACCAAATCCTTACGGCCTGCAGCGTGTTGAGACAGAGGAAGAGGGAGGGCCACTTTGCATGTGGAACCTGCCTGAAATCACTGTCATCTTGGGCCCATTGACCGCAGCAACTGACACTTGCTTGCGCTCGTCTTCGGATAGCCCTGAAAGGACCTTGAGGACATCCTTAGCTGCAGCCGGACTAATCTCGCTTTGGCTTGTTATTCATCAGCCCACAGCAGACACTGCATCTGAGCCTCCGCTTCTGGAGCAAAACCTTGCCAACAGGAGCTGGCAGCTGGCAACCCGGACACAGCAGTGGATCATGTACTACTTGCAGTACAGATTCTCAAACTGATTGTTCTTTTTTTTGGGGGGGAGGCTTTGCGATCAGGATCCCCTGGCTACGGAGATGGGGGGTATGAAGAGGGCAGCTCTGGCTTATTATATTATAGTAGTTTCTATTTCAGCTTCCATTATCCCAATATAACCCCAACATATACCCGATAATCCCTATAATCATCCCTGTAACTCCTGTAGTTTGCATCTTGTTTTCCATTATCTCCAATATAACTCGGGTATAACCCCTATATAACCCTAAACAATAGTTTCCATTTTCTTTTCCATTATCCCAATATTATCCCTAGAATCCCTATATAACCCATTATAGTAGTTTCCATTCTATACCCTATATAACCCTACATAATATAGTAGTTTCTATGTTCTTGTCCATTATCCCAATGTAACCCCAATATAACCCTATACCCTATATGACCCTACAATCCCTACATAAACCCTATGTAATCCTTATAACCCCTGTTGTTGCCATGTTCTTTTCCATTATTCCCTATATGGCAAGCAGCAAGCGGTCATACCACCCACATTGCTCTCGCAGAGCTCCGCGATGAGCCGCCCTCGCTCGGCCACGAGGCGTGCTGCATCCTCCAGCTCCAGGACACCCGCTGCAACGGCAGCGGCATACTCGCCTCATCTTCATAGGGTTAGATATGGGCTTCATATAGGGGTTACATAGGGGTTCATGTAGGGGTTATCTAGGGGTTATGTAGGGATAATAGAATGCTGTGTCCCACTTAGAAACGCCAAGGCCATAGCTATGCGCTTTACTCATGCCTTGCAGATGCCACCAGGCCACCCACACTGTGCCCAAGAACAGCACAAGGCTCGATGCCCATGGCCTTCCACATTTCCTGCAAGCCAGTGAGGAGTTTGCTCACGAGAACCAAATTTGACAAACTTATTTGTCAAACAGTCTGAGCGTTGCACAGATAGCGCATACTCAACTGAGAAAATTGCTGGCTGCGAGTACCTCGGCACAGCGCATCGGCACGGCGCAAACGTGCTCCAAGTGGCGCTATCTATATTGAGAAGATGCGCGTTCGCACAAAGTAGACAGAGCTAAGTCCGGACCTGTTCTAGTCTATGATTATGTGAGCTATAGTCTAAACTCCTAGTATCCCCCGTAATAGCCGCTATAATGGTCTCATCATATCTCATCCCCTATATAACCCCTTTCAGAAGTTTACACTTTAGCTCATGTGTATTGTGTTCCAGTGTTCGGCAGGACACTTCGTCAGATCCAGCAGCTCGCGATTCTCTGCCTGCAAACCAACGCATAGAGCTGCTGTTCGAATTGAGCTATAGTCTAAACTTCTCAAAGAGGGTGGGGGTTATATAGGGGACTATTATAGGGGTTTCAGGGGACTACCAGGAGTTTGGAATATAGCTCAATTGGCATCAAGTGCCTCTAGACTACAACGCGACGAAAGGATGACGATGGAACTGAGGAGGTCTGTCCATGAATGCATGCACGTGCCTGACATCTTTTGAACCTTTAGCTATAGCGTTGCGATAATCACCAGAAACGGTCATCTACAGGCTTTTTGTGCATGGCATGGGGGCTATGTACCTTAAGGCCATGAATCCTTGACTCTTAGGCTCTAGAGCCTTGAAGAGCACATCCAGGAGGGGCTTCTCGAGCAGTGGATCCAGCAGTTCCGCGCAGACGTCCAGCGCACATCTGAAGGACTCCTGCAGACTACTGACTACTGTGTGGACTTCTGTGGAGGCTACTGGAAAACATGGAGACCGGCCCAGGCATTACCCGTATTATAACGTTGTGCACACTCTAGTGATTCTGGGACCAGGTTTGACCAAGCAATGCGCAGGGGCAACAGCACGCGAGGAAAACTCATGTGCATTGAGCTGACTTTTGCTGGCACAGCATGTCGTCGGCCACAGCACCTTCCTTTCAATGGTGTCACTTTCCGCAGATCATGGAACAAAATCCACCCCATGCCCTGCGCCAGGTTTTGAACCACAAGTGCAAAGGTCCTGGAAACCTATACAATAATGCTTGCCACTTGCGGCAGGGACCTGCGTAGTGTTCTTTGTGAAGGAAGATTGCGCCGTAGAATGCCATAGAACCCTACTATTGCTATTATCATTAGTGCTGCTGTACTTATTACAATTCGTACTATTTTTACTATCATTTTGCAAAAGTCCACAGGAACACTTTAGCAGCTGTCCTCGGAGGCGTAGAGGTCTTGACCCATGCCAATCCGCTGAGAGCCCTGCCCTGTGAAGAGAAAGGCCACGCGCCTCTTGGCCGCCACCTTAGCCTGCGGCTTGGAGCTAAGCCAATAATACGACTTATCATAACAAAAATGTAGTGATAATGACAATAATAATAGTAGTAATGGCAATAATAGGAAGAATACCAATAATAACAATGGTAATAATAGTAATAATAACAATAGAAATAATACTTATAATAGTAAAAATAGTAATAATAGTAATCATACTAATAACAGAAATACAGCTAAGCAAAACAGCAGCCACTTTGCGAATGCCCAGGTAGTTGCCGGGATCCCAATATAAACAACAATAAACTATAGTCCCTTTTATGGGGGGCCCCAGAGAAGGGACCTCTAATTCTGGAAAACCCTAATCCCTACATAACCCAGTGTCCACTACATTTTCCATGTTCTTTTTCATTTGATTTTCCATGATTGGGGATAATATCCCTATACCCTAAACCCTTTACTTAAAACCCTAAACCCTAAACTCTTGACCCTGCACCCTAAACCCTACATGTGTCTGTGCCTTGGGGGCAGCTGCACCTGTGGCCGTGCGCTTGCAGATCACGTGAGCGTTCGTTCCGCCAAATCCAAATGAGGAAAGGCCTGGCGATGCTACGAAAGTGTTTTTAGGGTTGGGATTTGGGGGTTGTATCATGGTTCTATTGAAGAATGGAATAGATAATGGAAACTACTATATCATAGTAGCGTATGTATTGGGAATATATTATATAGATGAGTATTGGATAAGGATCTCATATACCCAAGTAACGCAGAACCAAATGAAAAACAAACTTGAAACCTCTTAGAAACTGCAAGCAGCTTCCTCGAATCACACTTTTTCGTGCAAATGCCCTGCCTGATGACAGCGTGGCTCCCTGCAAGGGCTGCGCAGTAGTTGGGATCTCAGCAGCAAAGTCCTCAAGGGCACAAAGCTGGTCTTGCAAGGGACTGGCAAAAAGCAGTGTGTGGAGACAAGTGCTTGACAAACTCAAGCAGTGAGGCCTCAAGATCAATCGTGGGGTTCAACTTGGCAAAGTGGACATTGGGAGGAACCTTGCCTTGGCAAAGCTGCTAGAACAGCAACTATGCTGGAGGACTCTCCATCCAAGCACATACGCACAAAGGCCGCGCTGAGGCCTGATCCATGCTGTAAGGCCAGCATGCTTTTCACAAGTCCGGCAACGCCAGCTGCGCCTTCCAAGTGTCCTGAAACAGCAAGGCACATGCTGTGGAACATCTAGAAGTAAAAGCTGAGCTGAGGCTTAAAGCATGCTGTCGAGTGTCCAATGTTTGTCTTCACTGTCGCGAGCTGCACCGGCATAGAACGTCCCGAGGCCAAGACTGCCTTGAGAGCTCCCGTCTCAATGGGATCGCCCAGAGCTGTGCCCGTACCGTGGCACTCAACCAGGTTGATCTGGGATCCAAGTAGCTCTGCAATCGACAAAGCCTTTCGGATGGCATCCTGCTGGGCGGGGCCATTCGGAGCTGTCAGAGTTGAGCTGCGGCCATCTTGATTGGTGGAAGTGGAAGCTATAGCCGGCAGAGGACCAGCCATGTCCTCCGCTGTTGCAGCTATCTGTAGCAGTGCCGAGCCGCAACCCTCGCCACGAACGTAACCGTTTGCGGAGGCATCGAAGGTCTTGCACCGGCCATCTGGTGCAAGCATCCGTGCTTTCGAGAATGCAACGAATGGCTCTGCAATCAAATTCAGCTGCACACCAGTCATCAAGGCAGCCAGCATTCCCAGGCCCAACTTTTGGCAGGCAATGTCAAGTGCGACCAAAGACGACGAGCAGGCTGTGTCCACAGATGCGCTTGCACCACGTAGCCCGAGGCTGTAGGAGATTCGGTTGGATGAGATGGATGCATGGGTTCCCGGACCTGTGTAGGGATTTGCGGCTCGCTCTTTGGAGAACTTGGCCCAGTCATTGTTGCACTGTCCTCCAGAGGCAGTGGCTGTGCAGCATTCAATTCATGATTGTTCCTGCGAAGCTTTAACTCATGTGAGCAGCGGACAAAATTAGTTGTCTCGCCTATGGTCAACATTCCTATACTCGTGCTGCAGTCTTGTTCCATCTCGTTTTACATACTCCGGAGCATGTTGGGGGGGACCACCTCGTTCCTACTAGGCTTGAGACCAACTGACCAAATCTACTATCTCGTTTTACAGCACTTGAGTCGGGTCTTGAATCTCATTTTCCAACAAACTTGACCATCTCGTTTTACAAGTTAAACGCATGATTTCGGGGAACTCTGACCGTCATTAGACATGTGTCAAGAGACGGAACTTTAGTACGTTGCTCATGTTACCTTACTAGACAGAAATTCGCACATGCCTGCTTGAAGAGTTGCAGTTCCAGAAACCTGTTTCACAGTCTTTCAACTGGATGTTGTCTGTACTTTGGCGTTTTCTTAAACTGCAGGTTCACGCAATTAGTATGAATTATTCTAAACCATGGCTGAAACTAGAACAACTGCACAGCCAGTTCCTCCCTATCCCACCGACTATACAGCAAATTGCCTCAGCTTTTGCTGTTGATGATCACAGACCTTGCAACTGCCTCATGTCAACATGTCAAGCGCACAGTCCCACAAAGACGCCGGTGTCAGACCCAAGCAGGGATTGCTTCGCTCGCCCAGCGTGGTGGCAGGCAGCATAGGACATTTCCAGGGCAAGTCGCTGTTGTGGATCGATAGTCTTGGCCTCTGCAGCGGACATCCCGAAGAATCCAGGATCAAATAGTTCCGCACCTTCAGCGCATCTCCGCCCCTCCCCATGGAAAGCAATTGCGCAATCCTGCATGTTGCATACAGACATGCCCCCCACCTTCCACAAATCCTCCATGTCGGGCATAGATCACATTCCCAAGCGCCTTCGCTGGCTCTACTCATGGTTCTACTAGCCCTACTCGAAAGGGCAACAATTCTTGGAATGGCTTCGCCTCCATGTCTTGTTCGAACACCTCGTTGACATCGAATCTTGCGAAGGGAATCTCCTAAGCATCAGAAAAAATGTGGCCAAGGAAAAGAAAGTTCCATCAGAATTTCCAAACTGCCTAATTAAGGCCTCCACTGTAATGGCATCCTGGCGCTGGAGCCAACGAGACCAGCAGGAGTCCAAACCTTCTGGACCACCCGGGAAAAAAGCGGACAAGCCCTTCACAGCCACAGTGAAGGATCCTGCAGGCCGAAGTTAGATTTGGGTTATAGTGGGGTTTAGGGTTTAGGGTTTAGGGTCTAGGGCTTAGGGTTTAGGGTTTAGGGTTTAGGGTTATATTAGGGTTATTGGGATAATGGAAAAGAAAATGGAAGCTACTGAAAAGTATATTGGGAGGTTATATAGTATATTGGGGGGTATATGGGATAGTAATCATACTATATTGGCATTTTGAGGGTAATATAGAGGTAGTAGTGGGGTTAAATTAGGGACATTGTTTTGGGTTATCTTGGGGTATATTGAGATCATGGAAAAAATGGAAACTACTATATTATGTAATTGGGGTTTATATTGGAGTTGCTTTGGGGCATATTTTGTAGGGTTTTCTTGGGATATATTGGGGTTTATATTGAAGTTATATTGGGATCATGGAAAAGAACATGGAAACTACTATAAAGTATATTGGGGGTTATATAGTATATTGGGGTTATATTGGGATAATGGAAAAGAAAATGGAAACTACTATATACGATATTGGGGGTTATATAGTAGATTGGGAATATTGGGATAATGGAAAAGAAAACAGTAACTACTATAGTATATTGAGGGTTATATAGGGTTTAGGGTCTATGAATCACAGCACCCAGGCAGCACAAGCTCAAGGACATCAAGAATGAAAGTCCTGTGCGCACAGTAACTTTGGCTTCCGGTGCGGCCGAGACTGCCGATGAGTCCGGCACCATCTGGGATTGCACAAGATCAGCAATCGCGCGCAGCGTGGGGTGGTCGAACATGAGCGTGTTCCTCAATATTAGCGAATTTGCGTCACTGGTTAGGTTTGACAATGCACGGCTAGGGCAAGGCAGACACGTCAACTTCAGTCTAGATTCGGAAACTTGATACCTGCCCCGGCTTCAGCTGTCAGCCGATTCCTGAACTCCACGGAAGACAGGGAATCCTGCAAGACACCAGCAGCCGCTCACACATGCCGCATTTCATCTCCTAGTCTCTAAGCCACTCACAAGCAACACGTCTGTCCATGCCAGCCGCCATGAGAGGCTCATCCATGTCCACGGCAGACCCAACAACATCCGCAGCAACGGAACCTAGGGCCAAAGCACATGCCGACTTGAAATCTCAGAGCCACACACGTATAACCCCAAACGTGTCTTCAAGACCACACAAGATGCAGCTGAAGCGCTGATCCATCCGCTCACTGCTTCAGGGCTTAGCACTGCCACCTGCGGTCCCAAAAAGTCAGTCTCGAGTCTACTACTTCAAGGGGTCCTTCGATCTTTGCCTGCTGGGCATCTGCCGCAGATCGCTGAACTGAGCTTGAGCCTTGGAAGTCCTGAGCAGCTGGAGTATGGATTGAACCACCACCACACCTTCTGATTTGCAGATGTCCTTGAAGTACCGCGGTGCTCCCCGAGGAAACCTTAGAGCAGGCGGACCACGAACCCAGGAGCTGCCGACCAAAGATTTGCGCCAAGGAACTGCTTGAGGAAACCAGACCACTGAACCAGTGCGCAACCCAAACGTCCTCCAGAAAGCGGTGTGGTGAGCGCAGTGGACCTGCTGACCAAAAATTTGAGACTCAAGTCAGGCGTTCACGGAACGAAAACACTGAGCCCCCGGCAGCACGGACATACCAAGCCTTTGCTATAAGGCTTTCTTGGGAATGCCTTTATTAACATCGTATCAGGTGGATGCAGGAAGCACAGCCGAGTCCGCGGCTCATTGCTGATGCCGTTGATTTTCAATCGAGAGAAAGAATTGTTCTGAGCCTTTGGCAAGGAAGCGAAAATTCAAGAATGGAACGGGCAGTAAAAGCTAACGCCCCCCTTGAACGCCATGGACCCTGACAGCGGCTGAGTCTCCAACTGCCATACCCACCTCTAACCAGGGGCCCCATTGCACACTGCCTGCAGGAACCCCACCCAGGCGCCAGTGATGCGCCAAGGCATCCAAGCCTCGGAAGAGCATTTTGTTCCTGGACCCAGGCCCCCTGGCTTGTTTGGGAGAGCTACGCCGTGTTGCGAGAGAAGCTTGACTGAGTTTCAGGCAGGTGTTGGCAGCGGCATAATTTCCCTGGCCTCATGGAAAAGGTCATCAGTCATGCTACCAGAGTCGAACATGTTCTTGACAGAGCGGGATTCGGTGATCACAGCGTGCCTGCTGCACCCAAGAGGGCTGCAGTAGACGAGTAGAGCACGAAGAAATCCAAGGCCAGGCCGTCAGCTGCACCATGCAGGTGCCTAGGGATGATGAAAAACTACTTACTAGATCATATTGGGATACTGGAAAAGAAAATGGAAACTACAGGGATTACATAGGGATTATATAGGGATTATAGGGTTATATAGGGGGTATATTGGGATTACATGGGATAATGGAAAAGAAGATGGAAACTACTGCATGGAAAGACTTCAATTAGTTCCCACAATCCTCTACAGAGCTCTTTGAAAAAAACGAGAAATCAGATCTGTTCTGAGGATGCTCTAACCATCCAAGATGCTTTGCGCCCGTGACCTTTGCCCCATATGCCCTCTCAAGGTTCTGACGAGTCAGCTGCGGTAGCATAGCATCGTCCAACACCTTTAGCAAATGCAATGAATGCGCGGAACCCCAGAAAATTTACAACAGTAACAGAGCAGCCAGACATGATGACACATGACACGGGATGACACGGGCTGAGTCGGGCACCCCGGCCAGGTGGAGCAAGCCACGCACGGGCTTCTTGCCCTTGCCAGTGGGCTCCGCAGATTTGAAACGCTTCTTGAGCTCCATCGCACCAGCTTGGGAAGCAACGTCGCAAGCCAGCGCACACGCTTGCAGGCTGGATTGCTGAAGCCATTTCCACTGCTGCTCCACTTCAGCTCCAGGACGACCGCTGCGAGAAAGGAGAAGCAAACTCTTCGCACCCTCCTCTGCAAGCGCTTGGGCCGTGACCAGCCCAAGTGCACCCATGCCCCCGGAGAGCACGTAGCTCGCATCTGGGGACAGCTTCATCCGGCCGGGGACCGTCAAGACCACTTTGCCGATGTGCTGTGCTCTTTGCAGGAATTGCAAGGATTCGATGCCTTTTTCCAAACCCTCGAACTCCTGGGCAGGAAGCGGCTTCCAGGAACCTGCCACGGGGCATAAGATCTTTCGTGAACAGACGGGTAACTGTGTCAAATCATGCAGGGAGCCCGCCTCGCAGATCCTTTTCGAGCCTTTTGAGCAGGCCCTGATACCGGTCCGGCTCGTTCTCGCAGACCCCATCGATGGCAAGAAGGTTGTATTTCACGTCCGCACGGAATTTCTTCACCTTCAGACGGCCAGTTCTGAGGGCAGCTGCACAAGATCAGTCCACTGAAAGACAACGTGGAGGCCTGGTCCACACTCCAGACGTCACGCTTTCCGATCTCCACGAAGCGGCCACCCTTTGCCAGCAGGCCCAGGCTGCGGCCGATGAAGTTATCGTGACTGAGGGAGTTGAGAACCACGTGGATGCCATCAGAGCCCTGAGGAATAAGGACTTTAGATGCTGCAGCAGGCTGACGCAGGCTGTTAAAATCTAGAGAGGAAGCAGCGATGCCTTGAGGAAACCTTTCATCTCTGTCTCGAACTCCTCTCCTTGGGTTCAGACCACATCTGTTCTGCAGGTTTAGAAGATGTCGGTGCAAATAGCGCAGCAAAGGTGCCATTTCTGGATGAGGTGATGAACTTGACACCCAGGTCTCGCAAGAACTGCCGCTTCTCATCCCTACCAGCCGTGGCATAGACCTGCCACAACAGCCAGAAGCAGAGACCTCCGGACCTATTCTGGGTTTACCGGCTGCCTCCGCACCAAGACGCTGCGCATACTGGACAGCAACCAGTCCAACTCCACCGGTTGCAGCATGGATGAGCACCTGCAAGACAAGGCATTGGTCCAACTGCTCTCAAGGCTAACGGCTTTCGTTGCCACCTTCTCACCCTTCTTCAACTTGGCCAGCTCTGCGAAAGCCACGTCCACGGTGGTGTACACTGTTGGCAGGGCTGCGGCAGCTGCTGGTGACCAAGTACTCGGCCGCGGCACCAGGAGCTGCCACGGAGTCTTGGCCTCACTTGCTCAAAGCTAGCTACAAAAACGAGCGAAACATGGCCAAACTATCTTGTGCACCCTGCAACACGCAGCGACTTTACTGAGACGCGTACATATGTCTTCAGGCAACCCCAAACAATGCCAAAGGCATCATCACCACATCGAAGTCCTGCAATCAGCTTGGAGCTAGCAGACTTGTGAGCTGCAAAATGGCGCAGGGAGAATGACAGGACTCGCCTTTATCCTTGCCGCTGACGTTCAGGTTCACCACCTCATGCATGCCACTTGCAATGCTCGCAAACTTCCTTCTAGTGCCTGGGACCTATGTTCTGGGAAACCCCCATATCCCCTTTGATCCTAAGCCCTAAACCCTAATCCCTTAACCCAGAAACCCTCTATAACCCCTTTATAGGCCCTAGCTTCTGAGAAGAGGGACCCTGCTTTTGCCCTCCCCATACATCCCTGTCATCTCTTAACGCATCCCTATTTCGAGAAAGCCGCAAACCCTCACGCAGCCTTTTTCATGACTTATTCTCCATAAAACTCCTCAGAAATGTACCCGAACTGTGGAGAAAGCACACCAATCCCCAAAGCCCTGATGTTTGGTCCCCAGCAGTTCCGCTGCAATCGAGACCCGGATCGCCTTGAGGATTCGGCTGCTGGGCTTTCGCTTAGTCGTTTGGGTTCTGGGGGGTTCCAGTCCAGGCATGCAAAACAAAAAGTTACGGAGGGCTTCATAATTCTATTTGGGGTTTGGAGGCCGCAAAACACTGATCTATTTAACTTTCGCCAAACTCATTTGACAGAGGCCTGCGCATGTTGCTAATGCATGTGTTCTCCATCGCAGCTGATAAGACATGCTCCTACACTACGCAGGCAGTCTCCAGAATGTGCTTGGAGGAATCTGCAAGCCTTGGGAAATGGAGACAATCTCCGTTTGTGCGCAGCAGCCGGAGTCATGAGTGATTCCCTAACGAGATCTTGCAGGTGCACGGCATTATCTTCTATTAGCCACAGCATTGCAAGACACTACACAAACTTGTGCTGCAAATGGTGTAGGATACTATACTTCTTCAACCGAATCAACAGCCGGCCTGGATCACCAGGATACATCCCCATGACCTGAGGCTTGCAACGGTCTCTTCAGGCTCAATCATGTTTCTCCTCTTCTCCCTGGTCCAAAAATTAATGCAACCTCCCCAAACCCTAAACCCTAAACCCTAAACAATAAACCATAAACCCTAACCCCCAATGCAACATAGGTGCGTTCAGCACATCGCGAAAGTTCAATCCGATAGCCTCCACGCGCACTTCTACCTCCCCCTCATCCACAACCGGCCTCTTTGTCCTCATCAAGACAGCACTCAGGTTATATGGGGATAATGGAAAATAAAGTGGAAACTACCATATAGTATATTGGGGTTAGGGACAATATTGGGATAATGGAAAAGAAAATGGAAACTATTATAATGGGCTATATAGGGTATATATTGGGGTTTTAATGGGGATTGTGCCAGCAAAGACGCTACACCTGCCTTGAAAGGATGCTGTGCAGCTTGGCTTCTGTGGTATTGGGCGCAAGTTTGTGAGGCTGCCACGTCGTGGCATGTGAAGCCTCAAAGGCCTTTGCGCTTTCAAGGCACTTCGCGCCAGCCGGGCCACCATCGCAGAGGATCTTTGCGCGAGGTCACCCTCAATGGCAGCCCAGAAAGCCAAGGTCCCTTCACTGGCTTGCTTCTCCCAATCCTTTCCATTGAGATCTACGCAGGTCACACGCAGGTCGGCTGTTTCCATTCGTGCGGACCTTGCCAAGCCCCACAGGCCTCAGGAACACGATCTGCCAGAGTCATTGCGCAACTGCTCAGAGATCCCTACCATCCCTCCGCACCTGCGTGTTCTGGATCGTGTCGATTTTTGTCTGTCATCTCAGGTGGCTGGGTGCCACCTTAGTGTACTTCTGAGGCAACTGCATCACTCCAAATCTTCCTTGTGTAACCTGTTTTTGGACATCTCCTTGCAACATGGTAGTTTCCCTAGATAGAGGGACCCCAATATAGACCCCAATATACTACAATTCTCATTATAGGGACCCCAAAAAGGTACCCCTAATTTTGGGAAACCCCCACATACTTTGCCCAAGCCGCCTGTCACAAGCAGAATGTGGGGCGGTTGGGCCGCTGCCACAGCAGCCTGTAGGAGTCGCAGCGCGGCATCCAGGGCATCCAGCTGCTCTCCGGAACCATCCAGGGCAACCGTCGCGGGACCTCCAGCCTGAAAGCAGACGCGAGCCTCAAAGCCGTGCAAAGCTACCCAAGGAAGAGGGAATTGCAGTGCAGCCTTGATAGAAGAGATCGCTTCATCGACATCTGTGACCACACCTGAGAATGAGAAGCAGCTCCCAAAACGTCTAAAGCTACATGCTTTGACAAGCTGCTCTTGCTGGGAGCCCTGCTGGCGTTAGATAATCCAACCGACTTGATCAACTTGTCCCCGCGCGGCTTCCCTGTCCATAATGCCAACTGTGCGCATGCCCGAACAGCACTGATACAGGAATTAGTAACTAAGACTTTAAGAGTGCTCATGATCGTCGTCAACAGAAGACTACAAACAGAAGAAGAAGAAGCAGAAGAACAAGAAGAAGAAGAAGCTGCGTGTAGCCTGCGGCCCCGCCTGCGGGGCACACCACAAGGATGGGACCCTGCAGAGTCATCTTGCTTGCTTCCTCCGAATCACCAACCACCGCAGCGTCCTTCCAGTCAATATCGTACCTTGAGCCCAATGGCAACTCTCAAATCTTTTTCAACAATTCGTGCAAGGGAAAGTCCACGTAAAGCCCAGGCACAGGCAATCATCAGACCCATCGCGCTCTTGGGTAGCAGAGGGGTCGGCTCGGCGGCAGCTGGCACCTTCCAAGCGCGCGGCCAGCTGTCCATCAGAATTGAAGATCTCAATGTCTGCCACCATGGAAGCCTCCGAGCGCTCCTGTCAGGGAACGTGAACTTTACTCCCAGCCCATCCCAGCCCCTAGCATGCTTGCACAGAAATGATGCTCCTGAACTCGAACTCCAGCCCACAGGTCTCCAGCTGGGCACTGTGCCGCAATCATCGTCCGTCGCACCGCGAAAGGCAGATAGGTGGCCTTTTCACCTTGTCGAGCTGCCAGCTCCACGAGAAGCTGCAGAGCTCCATCCAATTGAGCCGGATGCAACAGCTGCAGGGACTTCTCCCACACGGCTGCAGACTCGGCCTTGCATGGATCCTGTAGCTTGGCTAGGGCACCAAGGTCTGAGAAGCACGCTGTGCTGCTCAGAGTTTGAAAAGAGGTGCCGTAGCTCAAGCCGCGCTCGGAAAATGAAGAGTAGAGCTGACCGACGTCTTGCTCTGCTTGTTTGTCTGCCTCGCAGAGCTTCTGCCATTCTGAGAGCCTGCCTGACTGGCGCTCGAGGAACGGGATGAGATGAGTGGTTCCAAATCGTGCATGCACTGTTGCTTCCGTCGCTGTGCCATCGTCCACCTGAACGCTGGCCACTTCCGTATTCTCTGAAGACGCCGCGCAGCGGACTCGCATTGTCCCTTCATCAGAAATCAGAAACGGCACTTGGAAGATGGCATCAGAGAGCTCTACAGCCGCAAAGCTCTGTCCAGTGCCCTCTGCCAGCCGCACATGCGCTGCTGCAGCGAGAAGCAAGTGGCTTGCTCCAGGCAGGACAACACGCTCGAAGACACCTACATGGCAGGCAACTTCTCTTGAGTTCAGTCTCAGCAGGAAACGCAACTTAAACTCTCTGCTAAGACCTGGCATAGACAAGTGGCGATGCTGCTGAAAGAGCTGCATCGCTTGGCTGTTCATGTCCACCACGGACTCAGTTGTCTCGAAGGTGGAGACGTCCGCAGTTGTGCCAACCTTCTGGCCAAGCCTCAGAACCCAAAAACGAAAAGGAAGGCCAGCCTTCAAGCGACTCTACTGCAGCTTACTGACACACTCACTCAAAAGACATGTAGCAGCGGATGGAGGAGCGGTGCTCTCCACGGGAGCGGCTGCGGCTTCAGCTCAGATGGCCGAGAGAAGGCCACACCCAGTGCACGCGAGCAAATGAGCATGCTCTCCACATCGTCTCCTTAGGCGCCAATCAGGGGGATACTAACCAGGTGCAAGGAGGAACCCTGCATCTACTCTGTTGGTGCCCTGCTGCGCTGCATGTGTTACTCTGAAAGAAGTGAGGACAGTCCACCAAAAGATGAGCACAAGAACAGAGGGGAAAAATGTTCAGAATGAGAAGTCGAAGATGAAGGACCACAAGAGAAAAAGTAGTAATGAGAAAAATGATGGACCCTTTGGAGGTCAGTATTTTCGTACGTTCCCCAATATTTGAGGGTACCCCAAGAAGGGACAGATGCCTACATGAAAAAATAATCCTTATGTAATCCGCGATATTCCATTGTATACCCCTATATAACCCATCTATAAACCCGATACAGCCCCAGGTAACCTCTACATTCATCCATGACAGGTGGCTTCCAGGCTGGAGACTGGTCAGCCACTCCAACTTTTCCAGTCCGTGATGATCCTTCGCCTCCACAAAAAAGGAAAGCGTCACGGCTGTGATTGCAAGGGCTTAGGGTAAGAATGTAATTGACTAAACCACTTTCATTTTAGAATTAAGATACGGCAGATAGGATCTTGCTTCCCATGGGACGGATGCTCGGAACGGCCAACTTCAGGTAATCACTCCCACTGCACATGGATGATGACACCAACTCGGTTGCCCCTCCACCCTCCAACTGAGCTTCAGTGAATAAAGAAACAACCCAAAATAAACTTTGGATGATCAGAAAGTTAGACCCTCAGATATCCTCAGTATTCCAGGAGCCCCTCAAATAAATCGAAGCAAACACTGAGAAACCCCAGAATGTTGATGTACAGGTGCCCTTGGCCGGAGTCATAAGCACTTATCTTTCACAAGTTTGGAAGTTGGTCCACAAAATTCTGTGATGGTGTTCTTCTGTTAACAGCATCAAGCCCTCCAAAAAACATCTTAGAGGAACCTCCCTCTTACATTTCTTCACAGATTCATCATGATTTCCGGGGACATATGGGGGTTTCCCAAACCAGGGATACATTTTTTGGGTTGTACCTGTAAGAAAGACTCTAGTATTTCGGGGTCCTAGATTGGGGTCCCCCTGGAAACTTCCATGTAAGGGCGGCCTCTTGTTACAAACCCTAAGACCTAAACCCTGTACCGTAAACCCCAAACCCTAAACCCCAAACCCCAAACCCCTAAACCCTTGAAACCCTAAACCCCTGGCGTGAAGGACTGGGCCCAGCCTGCTCCGCCACACAGCGCCGACCCATCCTCAGCAGCGCGACTTCAACACAGGGGTTTAGGGTTTGGGGTTTAGGGTTGAATTGGGGGCATTTGGGGCATTTGGGGAGTTTCCCAAAATTAGGGGTAGCTTAGGGTTTAGGGTTTAGGGTTTAAGGTTTTAGGATTTGGGGCATTTGGGGAAGCCCAGACTTTTTTTTAAACCCAGGGTTAATGGTTTAGGGTTTAGGGGTTTCCCAAAATTAGGGGTAGCTTTGCATGGGAGGGGGTTTATATAGGGTTTAGGGTTTCTCAAAATTAGGGCCACCTTTTTGTGGGTCCCCATCATAAGGATCGCAATATATTGGGAAGTCTATATTGGGGTTCCCTTCTTTTGGGAAAACTACCCCTTCTTCCGGGAGCTCGTTTAGGGTTTTCATATGTTTTCATGGGGTACTCCGGGCTTGACTCAGTAGGGATGAATCCAATTGTTGCTGAAGGCTTCTCAAAAGTCCTTAAATCCTAAACCCTATATACTGTAACCCCTATATAACCCATACATAACCCCCATATAACCCTTAGATAACCCCTATATAACCCCTATATAATCCCCACATAACCCCTTTATAACCCCTATAACCCCTACATAGCCCCTATAATAATGAACCCCTATATCTCCTGTAAAAGGGTCTGTTGTTCTTGGCTGATGTACAGAGCTTCATAGGGATCCGACAGGAAGATCCTGGATCTTCCGCTACAGATTCTCCAAACTTTGCTTTGGATGCCTCCTTTGACTCCGGGGTTATGTTGGAATAATGGAGAATCAAGTGGAAAATCAAATGGAAAATGAAATCGAAGCTACTGTATACAGGGATACATAAAGATTATACCCTGGAAGGTATGCAAGGACGGCTTCTTTTAGAAACTCCAACACGATCACATAGAAAGTATTGTTGAGCATCATGCGGAATATCACTCAGGTTACTACCTCTATCTACGTTATCATGATAAGTTGCTGTTTTACCATGACTCTTACAATGCCCACCGCTGTAACTTCTGATGCAGTGTAGCAGGAGCAGCCATCATGGCAGGCAGCTCCATTAAGCAGCACAAATAGGGTCTTCCCAAACTTCCCAAACTTTGGGGTACCTTTTTGGTGCTCCCAAGAATACAGATTTCAATATTTAGATGTCCATACTGGGGTCCTCCTATTTAGGGAAACGACCGTGTAGGTACTTTGCACAATGGAAGCTTCTCCTACGTGCATCAGCTTCAGCTTCATCCCCTCACGTAAGAATGGTCCCCAATCCGACTCCCTAAACCCTGAAGCCTAATCCTCCAATATACTAGCATTATATATATATATAGCATATACTGGGAAGATAATTGCGACATTCTTGCAAAATCATGCCAAGGGGCTTGACTAGGATGGGCTGCGGTCCAATCTCCAAGTAGGCCTTCATGTGAACCATGATCCAACTTTGTAACAGGGGTTACTTAGTGGATTATATGGAGTTTAGGGTTGAAGGTTTAGTGTTTTTGATTTAAGTTTTAGGGTTTAGGGATTAGCGTGGGATTGGGGACATTTTAATTGGCCACTGCTACAAACCTGTGTTTGGCGCTAGAGCTCTCGTCTGAACTCCTAGTTATACAGGGGATTATATGGGGAGTATGAGAGGGTTGTAGAGGGGGATGCTAGGAGTTTAGACTATAGCTCATATGTATTTTCTGCGGCACCTTAGATACTTGGCACACATGGGGTCTTGCGCGGCAACTGAAAGACTAACATGTGCGCGTTTCATTGCATGGACCCCCAAAAGACCCGCTGAATTTGGTGACCCCGGGGCGCAGCTTGTGCCAGCCTCGCAATTGAGTCTGCGAAGCTCTGCCATGCCTGACAAGGACAGGAGGATTTTCAAATTAGGGGGTATATAGGGTCTAGGGTTTAGGGTCTGGGGCCGGTTAGGGTTTCGCGGAGTTTCCAAAAACCAAGTTCCCCCCTCGCCCCCCCACTCCCCCCCCCTCCCCCCCACTCCCCTCCCTTCCCCCCCCTTCCCCCCCCTTCCCACGAAAAATTCAGGATTCGGGGAGTATGTGAATTGTAGTTGGGGACTTACTGCTTCCGACCCTGGAATGCAGCCCTGATCCTTCGGCTCTCAAAGCTTGCGAACTCCCTCACTAAAGGCTGATGGACTAAACCCAGCCAACCCCCTCCATGAATGCTGGAACAGGCATGCAGAAAACACGTCTGAAGCGAGGCTTGCCTCCGTTACTCCCTCGACCCTAAACCCCACGTGTCAACTACATGCCATGACCTATTCGTGTGCTCCGCGCCCCGCCAGCCGAGGCGGGCGCGCGATAGCGTTTATAATCAGGGGGGTACCTTTCAAGGGGAAACAGGGGCTTATATGTACATGTATATACATATATATATATATAGATATGGTTTAGTAGGGTTTCCCAAAATTAGGGGTTTTGTTTTGGGCATCTCCATAATAAGGATTATAGCGCATAGTGTTTTGGTGTCTGCGTTGGGGTCTCCCTAGCTGTGGAAACTGAGTCTCTTCCCTTGCGCTGTCTCCACCAGTGCTTTCAAAGAAGCCCTTCACACTTGGACTTAGACACGATGCGCCCCTTATACGAAACAATCCTTACCGGGCCCCTTTTGTAACTGGCAGAAACTTTGAGCTTCCTCTGTTGCATCTGGTCCATTGGGGTTGAGGGATAAGCGGATGGGGATCATACAGTTTTTGTGTGTGGAAGGGGGGGTCCCAATCTAAATTGTTCAGAAGTGAGTGGTTCCACTACGTTTGATTGCTAACTGGCCTTGCACGAAGAGCATTGGCTTGGGCTCGTCGTGGCCTCAGCCATGAATGTGGCTGTGCAAACTCTGGGGTAAAGGCCCTGCGGCTGGCTTCTAACACGAGTACAATGTCAGCACCACTGGCACAAATGAGCGAAGGGCCCACCCAGTAGTTGGGATCGCAGATTTCTTTGGTCACCTCCTTGCCCGTGAGGCTGGAAATGAAGTGGATGTCACTTCGAGGTGGCTCAAGCCTTTGGTGGTTGTGACCCATCCAGGATCCAGAATCAAAGACCAGGCTACCAAAGCAGGCATTGGAATTGTTGCCAATCTGTTTATTCGAAGAAGGTACCAAAAATGGGAACCTCTTAGTCGCGATTCCTAGGCCTGTAGCAATCTTAAATCATCCCAATAGGAGATCACTTCGGATTCACTTCCTTCGAAAACTGTGTCATATTCGGAAGAGCGACTTGCAGGACTGCATCGCCTTTCGCAAGTCTGGCAGGATAGGCGCCATTAACGGCGAATGCATGGCATGCGGAATGCTGAGCCTCAGCCGCAAATCCAGATTGCGCAAGACCATATAACACGCACTCTGCGAACAAAGCTTTCAAGTCTGCAACTCCTCAACCCTAAACCAAGAAGCATCTTGCTCTGGGCACCAACTTTCTGGCACACCGACCTGCGTCCACGCAAACAGAAGAGCAAGGACAGTCATATATAGAGATCAGCGACCGGCCCTGATGCAGCCAGGCTTCTGTACTGCAGCTTTGTGTCCGGATACCACTGTCTGCATGGGGCCATTCAGTGCCTTGAGACACAGGTGTGGTTTGCCCTCAAAGCCCTGGGTCTAACTGATCTTCTGAGGGCTTTGCAGCAATGACCACGACCTGATCTTTCGGCAGCCCTTTTTGCACTTCTGCAAGGGCCTGGTCAAGACTCCAGAGCTGAAGGCATGTCCAGCATGCGTGGCACTGCCCGGCCTTCTTCACGTCACTTTCTGATGCAAAGATGGAGGCCATGGCCCCCACTCCTGCATCAGGTAATGTAAGCATGCATCATAAGTAGGTCCAAAAAGTTCATCGTCAGCCCACAGTCAGGCTGCAAGAAAAAGCATCCCCCCCACCACTTCATGCTCCCTCACCCCCCCCATCCTATGTCGCACTTCTGGTCGATGAGCTCCGCGCGGCGGGCAATTAGTTGCAAACCTACCTCCAGGGACATAGTCCCTGCCAGGACAGCAGCGGCGTATTCGCCCACCTCAGCAGCAACGATAGCACCAACAACAGTCTTACTTCTCAGCTGTGGAAGCTGACCAGTAGTGGCAGAAGCTGTAGCAGCAGGACCGCCACCACTGCGACTGTCACCAACACCACCACCACCACCGTCAACATCATGAGAGCCACCACCACCACCGCCACCGCCACCACCGCCGACACCGCCGCTGCAACCACTGGCAGCTGCAGTGATCAGCACAAGGAACAGGCAACCAGGAATAAGATGATGGCAATTGCCTCTTCAGCATTCTCACATGCTGAGATCTGGTGTATCCATGATTTTTGTTGAAAGTTCAAGAGCAAGCGCATTTTGTTCCAACCAAAGAAAAGCCCGCAGCTACACAAGTCATGCTGGACCGTTGGAGATCCCTTGCAGCAATTGGACCACGGTTCTGTGCCTCTTCTGTGTAGGTTTTTTGTCGAGGTCCTTTGGAGTTGGTTCCTAGTACCCCTATGGTAATGGAGAATCAAATGGAAAAGAAAATGGAAAATGAAATGGAAACTGGTATTATATAGGGATTAGAGGATTTACATTGCTCTTGACCCAACCTTTTTGCCTACTGCCAGCCCTCCGCAGTGATCGTTGTGGTCGTCTTTGATTGTGTTCCATCTCAAGTTCTTCCAATTAGGGATGCCCTTGAGGCAGGTGGGTAAGCGTCGTATGGGTTGTGGGTGGTAAAGGGTCAATCAAAATGCATTTACAGATATGACCCATAGTCTAAACTCCTAGTATCCCCCTTAATATCCCCTATAGTAATTCCCTATATAATCCCCTATAGAACCCCCTTTAAGGAGTTTAGACTATGGCTCATATGTCAACAATGATGCAATGATGGATTTCAAATAGCCATGGCATGTGTTTCCCTGTTCGTGAAAGATGCCTAGCAGGCCTAGCAGCAAATCCTGGGTTGCTGTTAAGGA